TGCCACATTCAGTGAAAGCATGAAAGCCTTTTGGGGAATAGTGATGTGAAATATTTCAAATGCATGTCCCACTCACATTTTGAGAAATGGTACCCAGTGTCTGCAACTGGCAATTATTTTTGCTTTGAATAACTGCAGATTTTTTTTAATCAATTGCTTAGATCATAATATGTAGATCTTCACAGTGAACAAACTGGATTTTGAGTATGTTTGTCATTTTACGATTGATCAGCAATCAAAATTGATTAATCAACTAATCATTTCAACTTTAACTGTGGCAAGGTATTCTAAATACCCTTACTGGAAACAGTGTGTGTATTTATGTTTACACATTAAAAAGTTAAATTAAATGCCACTGTCTGCTTTGCCTTCAGCCTAAAATTTTCCCTGGAGAAGGTGGAGCTGTGCAGCAGTGCATGTCTCTGTGACTGATTATGATTGTATGCCAAGGAGGAGATGTCATGTTTGCCATGGATTTACTCCATAAATCTGTCACTATGAGCAGATCTCACTAAGAGTTAGTAACAGAAAGTAATGAAATATGTAAGGGAAAACAAGTCAAACGAGTTGGTAAAATATGAATCAAAAGCAAATGAGAAAGTGAATAAAGTTGGAGTACATTGTATTCGACAAGGGATAGTCATCATCCCACAAATGAAAGATTATTGATCCTAGTTACTTATGGCTGAATTTGTTCTGATTGTTCATCATCCTGCATTTGTTTAATAAGGCATTTTAGTATTATAATAGCCAAACACAAACATATGCCTCATTGATGGTATGGAGTCTACATGTATATCAGTCTGTACCTACAGTGGTGTGAAAAAGTGTTTGCCCCCTTACTGATTTCTTATCTTTTTGCATGTTTGTCACACTGTAATGTTTCAGATCGTCAAACAAATTTATATATTAGTCAAAGATAACACAAGTAAACACATCATGCAGTTTTTAAATGAAGGTTTTTATTATTAAGGGAAAACAAAATCCAAAACTATAGAGCCCTGTGTGAACAAGTGTTTGCCCCCCTGTCAAAACACTGGTTTATCGCACCTGAGTTCAATTTCTCTTGCCACACCTGTTCGCAATCAAGAAATCACTTAAATAGGACCTGCCTGACAAAGTGAAGTAGACCAAAAGATCCTCAAAAGCTAGACATCATGCCGAGATCCAAAGAAATTCAAAAACAAATGAGAAAGAGAATAATGGAGCTCTATCAGTCCGGAAAAGGTTATAAAGCCATTTCTAAAGCTTGGGGACTGCAGCGAACCACAGTGAGAGCCATTATCCACAAATGGCGAAAACATGGAACAGTGGAGAACCTTCCCAGGAGTGGCCAGCCGACCAAAATTACCCCAAGAGCGCAGCGACAACTCATCCAAGAGGTCACAAAAGACCCCACAACAACATCCAAAGAACTGCAGGCCTCACTTGCCTCAGTTAAGCTGAGTGTTCATGACTCCACCATAAGAAAGAGACTGGGCAAAAATGGTTTGCATGGCAGAGTTCCAAGACGAAAACCACTGCTGAGCAAAAAGAACATAAAGGCTCGTCTCAGTTTTGCCAGAAAACATCTTGATGATCCCCAAGACTTTTGGGATAATACTCTGTGGACAGACGAGACAAAAGTTGAACTTTTTGGAAGGTGTGTGTCCCATTATGTGTGGCGTAAAAGTAACACCGCATTTCAGAAAAAGAACATCATACCAACAGTAAAATATGGTGGTGGTAGTGGGATGGTCTGGGGCTGTTTTGCTGCTTCAGGCCCTGGAAGACATGCTGTGATAAGTGGAACCATGAATTCTGCTGTGTACCAAAATATCCTGAAGGAGAATGTCCGGCCATCCGTTTGTGACCTCAAGCTGAAGCGAACTTGGGTTCTGCAGCAGGACAATGATCCAAAGCACACCAGCAAGTCCACTTCTGAATGGCTGAAGAAAAACAAAATGAAGACTTTGGAGTGGCCTAGTCAAAGTCCTGACCTGAATCCAATTGAGATGCTGTGGCATGACCTTAAAAAGGCAGTTCATGCCCGAAAACCCTGCTCAGCAGTGGTTTTTGTCTTGGAACTCTGCCATGCAAACCATTTTTGCCCAGTCTCTTTCTTATGGTGGAGTCATGAACACTCACCTTAACTGAGGCAAGTGAGGCCTGCAGTTCTTTGGATGTTGTTGTGGGGTCTTTTGTGACCTCTTGGATGAGTTGTCGCTGTGCTCTTGGGGTAATTTTGGTCGGCCGGCCACTCCTGGGAAGGTTCTCCACTGTTCCATGTTTTCGCCATTTGTGGATAATGGCTCTCACTGTGGTTCGCTGCCGTCCCAAAGCTTTAGAAATGGCTTTATAACCTTTTCCGGACTGATAGAGCTCCATTATTCTCTTTCTCATTTGTTTTTGAATTTCTTTGGATCTCGGCATGATGTCTAGCTTTTGAGGATCTTTTGGTCTACTTCACTTTGTCAGGCAGGTCCTATTTAAGTGATTTCTTGATTGCGAACAGGTGTGGCAAGAGAAATTGAACTCAGGTGCGATAAACCAGTGTTTTGACAGGGGGGCAAACACTTGTTCACACAGGGCTCTATAGTTTTGGATTTTGTTTTCCCTTAATAATAAAAACCTTCATTTAAAAACTGCATGATGTGTTTACTTGTGTTATCTTTGACTAATATATAAATTTGTTTGACGATCTGAAACATTACAGTGTGACAAACATGCAAAAAGATAAGAAATCAGTAAGGGGGCAAACACTTTTTCACACCACTGTATGGTCACTTTAACCACTATCTGTTTAATCAGATACTGTAGATCACCCAGCTTGTCAATTAGATCAGTTTCTAACTGCATTTAGGATGACAGCTCTGTGCAGGTTTTGTGCAAGAGATGCACAAACTGAACATGTATATTTTGGGGCTGGCTGGATAATACACGGGTAAGATAGAAGTGGAAGCTGATGTCCTCTGCCCTGAGTAAGGCATGAAGTCAGGCTTCTTCTTCTAGACGCTGATCCTTCTGGCTGGATGGAGAGTTAACCTCCCCTTTGGAAAGAAGGAGCCAAAGAAATAAAAGGAATATATGAGGCAAGAGTGGCAAGTAGGTCACTGCTGTGAGGAAAGAACCAAAGTAATGGTGTCTTCTGCTGGTAGACTGCCTTTACTTTTTATTATTTACTGCAGATAGACATTAATATAATGACACATACCCACACAGTCACATAAGGGTGTGATCATTCATTGGCTGTGGTCAGGTTGGTTATCCCTGCCCTTTTATCTGGCAATGACTGAATATGTTGGTTTTGTGTCCATCTTTCTTAACAGTGTCCGTTACATCAAGTAAATCGAGTTTTTTTGTGTACACATTACCATCCTTTTAACATTGCTATTTATTTCTGGGGACAAGGCTAGTCTGTCCATTGGCTGATTTATACGGAGTATAAAACTTGTGGCAGTGAGGAAAGGTGGTTTATTACCTTTTTTTTAACTTACAGGTTGCAATTTTCCTGCACAGCTAGATCCAGTCACTTCAGGGGCAGTGTACTGATTTAACCTCTTCAACACAAAAATTCACGTTATTCAAACATCTGTGCAAAGGGCTGCCTATAGCAGCATTTACTGTATTTGGTACATGTAAAATGTTGCTTTTTTGAAACTCCATTGAAATACCACAGCTTTACTTCATGACCTTTCTAAGCCTTTCAAATTATAATAAAGGGTTTAGTGTTTCATCATGCAGTGTCATGGATGTTAGCTTTGGCCAGGAGGGACCCTTTGATTCATTGCCCACTTAGCAGCTTCTTCTTAGAAACTTCCCATTAAGCTCCACCACCTTCTGCTTTTTATAGCATGTCACGGCTGCACCTCATTATTGAGTGATTAGATTTTTAAAATACCTGCTGTGGAGATCAGTGAACTCTCCTTGCAGTCAAACTTTTGATGCATTATGCCTGATTTATATATATAAAAGAACAGGGCACACTGGCACTGTGCCTGTCTTTGAGTTTGCAACAGATAATTTTACAGTCATTCAATGAGACTGCCTCCTACAGGCACCTTCTGTGAGCTCAAAGGGTGGAGGTCAATGATGAGATTTGAAAGACAGCAGCAAGTTTTGAGAGGACATTGAAATGTTGTGATATACAATTGTTTTATCTATAACATAATGACAGGCTGTAGTTAACCTCTGATTAAGAAAAATGTATGGATGTCAGTAACTGATTAAATGAAAATGATGTTAAATAATACACACAGAAAGATTTGTGATGATGCACAGAAGAAAAGATTGTTTAAAAAAATACAACCCACCACAATGTACCTGTTATCCTATGAAATGTACTTTAGAGCAGTATCAGCCCAGCAAACTTATTTATACATACAAACATACGGTATATGTAGGCATTTGTGCTGAATTAGTAAAAATGAAAACCAGGTTTTTAGAAAGAAAGGGAGATTATTACAGCCAAGTACAACATTTTAGAATTTTATAAAACACAAGACTGTACACACCTGCTCATATTTCCACCTTCTCAGATACTTTTCCACATAAAACTGACCCTGTAAATTGGGTGAGTGTTTGTAAATCCAACAGAATGTGTCATAGACCTAACATCTACAGTTATTTGTTCAATGCTCCCTGTATACATGAATAACAGATGCAGTCTGTCCCTTTGATTACAGGCAAATAGTGTTACCAAGCTCTGGTGTGTCTGTTTCATAAATAGCATTAATAACATTCATTTAGGTGCAGAATACATTATAAATGCGGTGCAAATGGCAGAGTAAAGCTCCTCCACTGTTTCTGAAGAATTCTGCCATGAAGTAAAATGTATTTGCAAGCTGTATTTTGTAGTGTTTTACATTACAGTGTAAATGAAAGTGTGGATTATAATTCTGGAACATTTGTTGTCTTTGAGTAGAAAAATTATAACATTTTCTGTTTTTTAATAACCATATATCTTTGAAGCCAATAAATAGCAAATAATAACCCATCATCCATATCTCTGTTTCTTTCAGATGGTGAAGGGGGAGAGGTGTCCCCACCAATGGGTGCAGGCGTAGACAGTAACAGCTGGCACTTTCGCTATGGCCCCGGAGGTCCCGGTGCACCCCCACAACACCTGAAACCCGGTGAGGTCCCCCCAGAAGCCTTCATTATCCCTGGATCCCCCGCAATAATATCCATTAGACAGAACCAAGGAGGAGAGGACGACAAGAGCGATTTCATTACCTTTGGAAAGAAAGAGGAAGCCAAAAAGAAAAAGAAGAAGAAGAAGGAGAAGAAAGACAAGAAGGATAAGGGCAAGGATGATGGAGATGAGTAGAGGAGCAGAAAGGGAAAATGGCAAAAAAGAAAAGGGCCATGTTAAAACAGAGGTACCAACCAAAGTCCAGTGGGCAGGAAGAACATGTGAAAACTGTTATAGATTTTTCAGCTTCATTTGGTTACCTGTTTTCACTGATAACATTCTGAAGCGCCTTCTGTTAAAAACCTCGCCTTACCAGGATTTATTTTACCTTTAGGCCCTTGTTAAGGTAAACTAGTGGTCTTGCATTGAGAAACAAAAATTTCTTACACTAATTTTCCATTAATGAAGGGCCACTCTTTGACCCATTGGACATGTTGGCACCTCTGTCTTACTCCCTCCCCAACTATGATATGTAAACTATTCTCTCCAAGAGAAGACAAATACTTTGTACAAGAATAACAAAAAGCGCTGTGCCAGCCAAGGAAGAGAAGACCGACAAAGAAGATTGAGACAGATGTATGCAACCTGGAGCTGGACACACACGATACTTGTAAATAGCACAGGCGAGTGTCACTGAAGCTAAGGCCAACATGAAACTGCTACAGATTATTCTGGTAATTACCAACAGTGTTTCCTGAGATATCACTGAAACAACATGCACACACACACACATATGTTCACACACTCAAACATACAAACACAAAAACACATACTTACTATGATAAAGTGGACGCAGAAAGCACATGAGACCTAGATGGAGGGAGTGAAAATCAACTATTATCAAAGAAATGTGCTTAAAACTAGATGCTGCAAGCTTTTTGCCCTGCAGCTGCCTACAGTATATGCGGTCCACATGTGTACATCAACTGTCTCAGGATGGAAGCAGCATCCTTTGCGGCCACTCTGTATTTGCTCACTGTGTTTCCAGGACACAGAGAGCTTCATCTCAAGCCAGAAACCCTAAAAGCACCAGAAAGGTGGAGAGATGGAGGGATGGAAGATATTTCACATCCTCCTGAGGATCGCAGAGGGGAGAGTCCACCTGAGCTGGCTTGAGACTCCACTTTCATTCAGTGGACTCTGATGAAAACATACAGAATATTAGGAGAGTCTTGAGACTTTGATAACACCTTATCTTCTCCCTCTGCTACAGCAAAAGCCTAACACTTTCTGCATTGAATGTTTGGTAGCAACTAGTCCTTGCCCTGAAACCTTGAGTTTACAACTGCACACCTGCTTGTATTTGCCCCAAGCTACCACGAGCCATCCTCTCCATCCCCAGCTGCCTTTAACCCCACGATCACCCATTCTACTGACTGCCTCTTCATGTGATGATGAAACTTGTGAACTTGTTCTGTTTTCATTATTATTACATTCTGACTTTTTTCTTTCTTCCTCATAGTATAATCTTTTTGCGTGTCATCCCCGTTTACCCTCACACACTGCCCCTAACCCCCGCTCTGACCCCCCCCTCAGGATCAATCCTGGGAATGGCCTGCTCTGCACATTGTGGTGTGCTGAGAGCAGCATGGAGTAATGTGGATGAGGCCAGGGGGAGCCCATTCGGGGGTCTCAGCTCTGAACACTTGTCTGATGTCTCTCTAAGTGCAAAACGGTTCAGTGCTTTTAACTTGTGAATACTACAATACGCTGTTCATTTCCTCTTTGTAGCCACTAATGAGAGGGGACCAGGTGGGGTGAGGCAAATTACAGGGATGGAGGACTGGGATAGATGGGTGCGGTGGGCTGGCCCTACACCTCCATGTGCAAGAGAAGAAAGTTTTTCTCCAAATTGATTGTTAAGGATTGTTGAGTCACTTATTAGCTTTTATGTATGCTGTAAATGTAGGATAGATTTTTTATAGATTGCTTCTACATTAGTAATCGAAACCTGCTAAGAATCTGGGCATCTAGGGATTCCAGTCCCACAGCTATATCGCAGAAATACTTTCTCAGAAGGCTATGAAAAGGGGGCACTCAAATGCCTCAAGACCTGCTTCTGTTGGTTCCCCTCCTCTGCCTGTAACTCCTTGCCACATCCCCAGAGTTTTGCGGCTCAGTATGACGTCACTCCATTAAGTGGCTGCTGCATGTACTGCTCTAAGGAAACACATACTATATAGAGAAATATATATATATATATAAATAGATAGATGGCTATGATTTTATTCTTTTGTATTATTTTCCTTCGTTACTTGCACAGGAGTTATTTGTATGTACTTCTGTCTCTGCCAAACATCTATGTACTACAATCTTCATGCTCCACAAATGTTGTGTGGCATCCACTAAACCTCTTTAGATAATTGTAAATGCTATAGTGTGATACCTTTCAATGCAAGTTTATTTTTTTCTTTTACCAACTATGAATTTTGGTTTTGAGAACAAGCAAAGCAAAAAAAAAAAAGTAAATAAATAAGTAAAGAAAAAAAAAGACTGGCTTTGACATGACGATGTAACTAGCACTGTTACCTTGTAACTGAAATATGTATGATCTATCACTTCCCTTTTACTCAAAAAATAAAAAAAATCACAGAAAAAATATTCCAGTGTAGAAAAACCGTATATGTAGTGTATGCTTGTGTTTAGTGATCGTTCATGCTGTCATTCTTTCCCGATGTATGGTGGTGAACTATGGTTGCATTGTGCTGTCCTAAATGGATCAGCCCAGATCTGGTGTAAACCTTTTTTTTTTTTTGTACACTCATTCATCTACTGTGACAGTGAAGTAGTGAGTTTCATTTATTTTCTGACTTTTTCTTTAATTTTACCTAAATGGATACAGTGGTAATGTGTTTTGTTTATAAATCACCAATAAAGTTTTCTTTCTTAAAAATATATTTTGAATTTATTTTCTTGGATGAATTTGTGTGTCCTTCTTTTGGTACTTTATCAGTCTCAAACCCACTTACTGCAGAAAGTTAAGGAATATCATTTAATTTAGATAATGGCTATGTTTGGGTTTTTATTGAAAATGGTAAAAAAATTATTTGAAATCATCTATATCTAAGTACTATGTAATTAATAAGGTCATTTAAATTAAAATATTATGCAATATCCCTTATGTAATCAAACTCTTGGTGACCTGATTCTGGCTGTTTCCGGTTTTGGTATCCGTATTCACTTCCTGTTTTTTGTGCCCGCGGAATGTTGTGCTTGCTACCAGGTTGTTTATGGGGTAAGCTCACTAATTTTTAGGTTTATCTGAACATCAGCTAATTTTTTGAGTCACAATATACGCTTGCATTACTTAAGCACCTGTGTTACAGACTTTCTTGCTAATTTCCAAATTTAACTTGCTACTTTAGCTCAGCTAAAGCTAGCACTCTTAGAAGCTAGCTAAGCTAGTAGCGTAGTTGAGAGCAATGTTCTCCCTCTCGTCCTCTTCCTTTTGTGTCGCATGTTTAGTTATTCCTCTGCCTCCTTTAGCGATAATGGTAGGCTACTTGTAATAAATGCCAGATGCTAGCACCATTGGAGGAGAGGCTCACCGAATTGGAAGCGTTGCTCCGCCCCATGGAGAACAGCCCAGCTAGCCATGCCCATGTAGCCGGTGCGGGCCTCCTAGACATAGCTCACCCCAAGCAGCCGGGATCTCGGCCAGGTGACTGGGTGATAGTTCGCAAGAGTCGTAGCTCGAAACAAATTGCGACAGTGCGTCACCTGCCTGTTCACATTTCAGTTCGATTTTCCCACTCAGCCACACACCCGCTGAGAAAACAACTGTGGTAACTTGTGACTCCACAGTCAGAAACGTGAAGCTAGAGACACCGGCGGCTATAATCAAATGTATTCCTGGGGCCAGAGCGGGCGACATTGAATCCTATTTGAAGCTGCTGATTAAGGATAAAGGTACATACAGTAAGGTTGTTATTCATCTGCACCAATGACCCCCAACATCGCCAGTCGGAGGTCATAATGATTAATGTAGAGTCGTGTGTAATTTTGCTAAAACAATATCGGACTGCATAGTTTTCTATGCCCAATCTGACCAGTGATGACATGTTTAGCCACATGTCATCATTCAACCGCTGGTTCTTTAGGTAGTGCACAGAAAACGATGTGGGCTTCATAGACAGTAGGAAAACATTTTGGGGAAAACCTGGTCTGATTAGCAGAGACAGCATCCATCCCACTTTGAATGGTGTGACTCTCATATCTAGAAATCTGGACGAGTTTTTTTTACAACCTAAATTATGACAACCCAGAGCTTAGACCAGGACGCAGGGACGGAGTTTTATACACACCTCTCTGCTGTCTCTTTGCAGCTGCTACCCACCCAAAACTCCCAGTACCCCATAGAGACTGTGTCTGCCCACCGCCACCTAAATTATATAAATCAAAAATCAACTCCAGGAGTTATTCATAAGAACCTAATTAAAATTAAGACTACTCCTCTCACAGATCAAAATAACAGGACAGTCAAATGTGGACTTAAATATATCTCTCTCATCTACATTTCTGTTAGTGAATGATTTGATAAGTGAACATCACATTGATTTATTGTGTCTTACTGAAATGTGGCAGATCAAAATAACAGGACAGTCAAATGTGGACTATTAAATAACAGATTACTGCTGTTCTCCATCCAGCCTTCACCCACCTAGATTCAAAGAACTCTTGCGTGGAAATGCTGTTCCTAAACTTCAGTTCAGCATTCAACACAATCATTCCCCAGCAGTTTACACAAACAATTGGACACTTGGGACTCAAAACCTCTCTCTGCAACTGGGTGCTGGACTTTCTAACAGGGAGGCCACAAACTGTGCGGGTCGGCAGCAAAATCTCCTAGACCATCACTCTGAGCACAGGGGCTCTGCAGGGGTGTGTGCTCAGCCCGTTGCTCGTCACACTGCTGACCCACGACTGTGTGCCAACCTACAGCACCAACCACATTGTCAAGTTTCCAGATGACACGGCTGTAGTTGGCCTCATACCAACAATGATGAGGCCAACTACAGGAATGAGATGTGCCAACCGGTCCAGTGGTGTAAGGACAACAACCTCTTCCTCAATGTGGGGAAGACTAAAGAGATCATGTGTGGACTTCAGGAGGAAACCTCTAAAGCATCCACCACTGACCATCGATGGTGCTGTAGTGGAGAGAGTGAGCAGTACCAAGTTCCTGGGGATGCACATCTCTTAGGACCCCCCAGACCCTCTTATGTCTGACCATTTTTTAAATAACTTTTGAAATTACATTATTGGATTATACTCTATGTGGGGAAAATTCCATTACAGTAAATGTCTATCTGACAATGCTGTTACTAAAGTTAAGGAAATAATTCCATCATTATTTACTTGAGGACCATGTGCCAACACAACGGAGGTTGGCCACCTTTACTTTACTCCTATACAAGTCTATAATCTTTTTTTATAGTGCTGCAGCCTCCTTGCGTACGATACCATTGCCCCTCTGAAAAAGAAGGCAGTGAAAAAGAGGAGGCTAGTCAAAAATGACCAGGATATGTCTTTTAAATCACACATAAACCAAGTCTCTAGAACTGCCTTCTTTCACCTGCACAATATTGCAAAAATCAGGAACATCTTGTCTCAAAGTGATGCTGAAAAACTGGCCCATGTATTTGTTACTTCCAGGCTGGACTACTGTAACTCTTTACTATCAGGATGTCCAAATAATTCCCCCAAAAAGCCTCCAGTTATCTCCACTGGCTTCCTGTAAAATCCAGAATAGAATTTAAAATCCTAACATACAAAGCCCTTAATGACAAGGCTCCATCGTATCTTAAAGACCTCATAGTCCCATATCATCAGCCTTTAACTATCAAGCTCCTCTCCTATTGAACCAGATCCCAGTCTCAGTTCAGGAGGCAGACACCCTCTCTACCTTTACGATTAGACTTAAGACTTTCCTTTTTAATAAAGCTTATAGTTAGGGCTGGATCGGGTGACCGTGAGCCTTACCTTAGTTATGCTGCTATAAGCTTAGACTGCTGGGGGGCCCCATGATGTTCTGAGTTTCTCCCCTCTCCTCTCTCTCCATGCATCTATATGCCAGCATTACGTCATTAGCTTTGTGTCTCCTCTTTCCTGTAGTGTGTCCTTTATCTCTCTCCCTGTACCTTTCTGCAGGTTGCCCTGGTTCTGGAGCTGTACGTTTCTAATGAGCAGTCACCGGCCACATCAACCTGACCAGTGTTTGATTGTTTGTTGTGTCTTGTTGCTTTTCTTCTTTTCTCTATCCACTCACCCCAAACCGGTCAAGGCAGAAGGCCATCCACCAAGAGCCAAGATCTGTCAGTGGTTTCTTCCGTTAAAGGGAGTTTTTCCTCCCCACTGTCACCAAGTGCTTGCTCAAGGGGGATTTGTTGGATTTTCCCTCTGTATATAATAATAACAGTAAGGTCTGCTCTGAGATGACGTTTGTTGTGATTTGGCGCTATACAAATAAAATTGAATTGAAATTTGAATTAGTCATTTGAATCTGACTATAGGAAATGTTTCTCCCATGGGAGATGAAATGGTGAACAGGGGAGAAGGAGTACATCTCTTCAGATCAGAGAGGGCAGGACAGACAAACAACCTTCAGGTGGTTCTCTTCTATCACACTCACTCACTTCTTTGCACTGACAAGCACTAAAAGGGTCATTTCTTATTGGGGCCTGGATTATGCTCTTAAATCTGTATTTGCACTTTCAGATCTGTGTGCATGCTCTCAAATGCTGAGTTGAAAACCAAGGTTTGCTTGAAATGTAATTGGAGCGCCCTGAAACGTTATGGGATCTATTTCCATAGGAAACTTCCACAACATAATTTAATAGAGTGGCTAAGTAGATTTATTCTGTCCCAGTGGGTGGGTTTGTAGTAAAAACCTCACAGCAGAAAGGCATCAGTCATGCTGGCCTAGAAAAAAAATGTGGCATTGATAATCAATGCTGTTAGCCAGTCATCTACTCAGGCAGCCAGCTCTGTGATTTAGAGCTTGAGGGGCTACTGCAAAATTTACATTTTGTTATTATTTGTTATCTGAAATAAACACAATTTCTGAGTAAAACATATACCTGTGCATCCCTGTGCTTTTACTGAGGCTGCTGTTGAATTATATAAAGTAAATTTAGGCTCTATCTCTCTCCAGCTTTGGTTTTCAAAGGAGACATCATTGAAAGAGGTTCCAGAGGTCAGATTAAACAAACAAAAAAAAAAAAAGCTGTGTGTGAAATTGCTACATCTCGCTTCGTTCTCTCCATGAGACCTATGGTTGCAGATATTTGGCGAATAGTCTCTATGGCAACTGCCTTATATATAAACACAGTAGGTGTTAAACAGTGGGGTGCCCAGGATCGGGTCAAGAGTGGTTGGGGTTGTGTCCTTTCAGACAGCACAGGCAGCCGTGGCTGCTGAGTTGATGATGACATACCACAAAGGTGTCTCCGACTCCTCGCTGACATTTTTCACTGGTAAGAAGGGCAGAATCATGGAAGAACATCATTAACAAAAACCACTAACATTCACATATTTAAAATGCCTAGTTAAATATTCCCATGAGCATTCAGAAAGTGTGCTCTGGTCTTTCAGAATTTTGGTTCACTGAGTTTATACAAACAAATTAAACTAACAAACAGGCTCAGTGTGTAGCCTGCAGTGTTTGTTCTGCAGAGCAATGACTATTTGGCTAATGAATATGTTTATGTATTATGGCAGAGTGAAGAGAGCCATGCGAAGCAGAGTAGTGGGCTGCTGTGTACAGTGTCACTGTAAGATGCCCAGTATACAGAGACCAGATTAAACATAATATACACAGACACTACCATATTCTGCAGTGTATGGCCTAGCTTCATTTATGCAACATGGGTTGAACTAAGTAAGAAAGGAAAGAC